AATTCCTGAAAAAAGGTGCAATAACTGTCCTTTGCTATCAGGTTTTCAATGATTCTCCAACCTATGAATCCTAATCTTATGGCTTACACCAGTTGTATACAAGTAGTTATGAGGTATCCCGGTTGCTTGAAATGGAACCATGTAAGAGGGGTATCATTGGGACAGGGAATGGGCAGGTGCAATATATGTACTTATTTCTGTTACAGCAGAAACTCTAGAGGCCATCAACATCCCAAATCCCAGTTTGTCTCTCCTGAACTCTGTTTTTTTGCTTGCTGAAAAAAGCTTCATTGACATCATTGTCCGGTGGATAATGTTCCACGTAGCTCGCTGACTTTTGAAAAGATTAAGCATCTCGTCACTACCAGTAATTGCCAGGCCCTATGGAACCAACACTCTGCTAAGTATCTTATGCAATAAGTTCTCAGGTACACTAATTGGCCTGTCAGTCTAAATTCACTTAACGATGGTAATCATGGACCATTCATTGAAGAATGAGGTGTAGAATTCTTACTTCAACCCCAAGTAAAACTTCACAGTCAGTTTGCTTCAAACATGTTTCTAGGATAGACGGAAATGACAGTCGACTAAGTCCTAATTGATCGTTGGCTGCAAAAATTCTTTCCAGATAACCCCTTTTCAGTAGACAAACAATTCAACATCAAGCCTCCACAGGCATAAACTAGTACTATACAGGATGAGTTGTCTAGCCGACGGTCCAAAAGATGTCAGTAATAGTGTAGTCAACCTTTATTGTCTTTTTTCAACCTCAATTCCTCATTCTTTTAGAGCGGGATATTGAGAAGATCAGTTAAAATCCAGTGTTGAGGAAATTTTGTGCCCGGATTGCGGCGTATACTACTTATACCAAAATACACAAGTAGTAGGCGATTTGGAGAAGAGTGATTAGAGTTAAAATTTAATCAGTAGAGGTTCCATTAGATGGAAATGCAGAAGACAAGCGGAATAGCAGCACAACGTGGGAGACAATTTATCCTCAGCATTGAATACAGGTAAGATATACTCCAATGAAAGTTCGCAATACTTTACAACCGCTCATCTAGTCTGTCCTTACTAGAACTTGCATTTAACATTATGTGATTTTATGTAGTTAAAAGCAATCGGCAGGAAGTTTTGAACCTAGGCTTTGTGCTTATTGGCACTCAACAGTAAAGACTGTCTGAAACCTCGATGGAACTGACATCCTCTCCGCGTCACCAAGTGCTGTGGTTACCGACAGTACCACTAAGCTAGGACTTTCTGTGGGACTACAGAAGATAAACTGATTGGAGTGGTCACTAAAAGTAAGCAGCGGCCTGAAAAGTGAAGTGATAACTTCGCTAACTACAAAACTGGGTGATTCATGTTAGAATCCCACAGGGGACCTGTGTTCCCTCTATGTTGTAGGCATGCCTTGCCGACTAACACTCATAAAAATGTAGTGTGATGATAAGTCTCCCAGCTTGAGTGTCACAGTGGAAAGTAGTCAACATGACCCGGTCAGCACTCAGGAATAAGCAACATGAGGTTGCTTACTCTCCAGTGATCTTTCACATTATACATTTCGCTGGGACGCAAACCACGCACCCATCACTTCGAACAACAACGATAACAGTGGGAAATGCGGAGAAATGCTGGTTCATTTGGCTCACATACAAGCAGACATCATCTAGATGATAAACCAAAGTTTTACCCTCACCTCTGTCATTACACCGTTTCTATCTTCCATAGGGGGATTGCCAGAAATGCTGATGACATACATTTGTGCCTTGACTCACATTTTCGTTTCACCCTAAATCATCACCCAGTGCCAATTACACGAGTATGCCAGGCCACAGCCATGTCAGACAATAACACAAATCAACACCCATATATATGTATATGGATATTGGCCAGTGTTCCAGCATTTCTTGTATCAAACAATCTGTTAATAACTATTTATGGATATGCTTGTAATTCTCCGTTGTTTTACTGGCTCGAATTGTTCGACCTCTATTGGCGTATGGGCTCCTGTGTGGATGCCTCGTTATTGCCTGAATGTAAACTACGGTAATTTACTTGATAGTGGCTAGCAGAAGAATCCATCATGAGCGTTTCCTCTTATTTGGGACTTGTCAACTGGATATACCTGCACCTCAGTGAGTGATGTTATTCCCACCTAGATGGAGCTTATTTTAACCACTGAGCTGTGTGACTTACAGCTTCCTAACGAAACATTTATCGAATGTCGAGGTTGCTTCAATTTGACCAGCAAAATCTGCACACCAATATGACTGATTTCTAACTACTCATACTACTCAGTAGTATACTGAGTCATCTAGTTATCCATCCTTTACTGACTATTAATGACACTGTCCTTACATAGTTACCTCACTATACCAGTCGTTTTCCTAATTAACATTTTGCTACATAATTTGAAGTCATTAGCTGCACAAACATCAGCACTGAGTCGGGTTTTGACTTTAGACACTCAATCTCCAAACATTTAAGTAAGGCTAAAATACTGACACACTGAGACAGAAGTTCATGCAGTCGTAGGTCAAACTAACCCAAGGACGGCAGAACTCTCAAAAAAAAATATGTGGCAGTTTTGAGTGGAAAATGGAAATCCATAACATCAGATGAGTGTAAAAAGACGGTGATAAACATCTTTTCAGAATACGTTTCCTACCAGGAGTTAGGCAGTAAGAGACGACGTCTGCAGATAACTAGGTAGCGTATTAAAAAGTACTCAAATAACTGATTTTATGCACTCTTTATTCATACAGTTGCACAGTTATGATCTCTCTAACCAAGAGTTAACTTTCTTGTAGATCCTTCCTTAACAGAGCACCTAGACTTACACGTAAACTTCTTCCTCTAAAAAAATCAAGTCTGGCGAGTAATCAGTCTATGTAAATCCGTTATTTGACTTATTGCAGATATAAAAAATTAATGATCTAGGAGTTGATGTGTTGTAGTACTTATAGATTACTCAGCAAACAAGCAGTTGAAAATTTCATAAAATACCATATTCCTTACAAAACCAATGGAAAATTAAGCATACATAGAAATTAATAGGCGACAAAGCAGCAAGGCTGAAGTGAAATCAACTCGTCAACTAAAGATTATCAATAGAAAAACCATTTAGCCTACACGAATGCGATCAGTAAGGATACTCTGAGGATGGTTTAAAATTGTTCATACTTCGATAAAATAAAATAAATATCCAATTTAAGACAAACAACGAACATGGGATAAAGCAGGATATAATGAATTCATAAATTTCAGTAGTACTTGTGAACTATATACTCTACATACTTAATGATAAATGCCATACAGCAATGCAAGAGAACATATATACATACAGACATATATAAAGAAGACTGAGACATCTATTTATGTGTAGCAACATAGAGTGGATGTTCAGATTGAATAAACTGAAGCTGGGTTACATAATGGAAGCAGAAGCACTATAAAAGAGCTCTAATTCATGCCACCCAAACTTGACTTTTGCTACTGAGTAGAAAGAAGATAAAATGATCAGTTTCTTAGATGTCTCATTTATGAAAAGAACCGATCGATTTATGAAAATGTCCACTTATAGAAAGAAAGCCTTCATGGATGGGACAGTACCTTTATTTTATGAGTGTTTTCAGAAGGCTGTTTAGCAGCGCCATGAAAATTATTTGCAACAGCTCAGTAGAATACTAAATAATAACTTTTAAAGACACACTATTGAAGAATGGGTACTCGGAAAGCTTCATCAACAAGCCCACAAAATAGGTAGGAAGCAGAACTACGTCCACGACAGTACAGAGATAGCCATTTAAAGGTGACGATGTCTTGTAGTTAGCTAGGAGTAGAGTGGGGAAGTCTATCGGGAGAACTTATTACGCTGCGCAACTGCTGCTCCTCAACAGCGCCAAACAGGTACTGTCACGACCAGATAAAGATTGATTTGGATCCTCAACATATGTAAATGCATTTATCAGTTTGACTGCACATGTGGCAGTAAATACATTGGTCTTATGAAAAGGCATCTGTATACGCGAATGGTTGAAAACCTACCCAAATGGCAGAAGCGTAACAAGAAGTTCGATAACGTAAAGTGGTTATCAGAAGACAGTAGAATAAGAAGCTGCTTGCAGTCGCAGAAGCCTGTGAAATTCAATTGTCAAAGAGAACTTCAGCGTTCAGAAGGAAATGGAATTCAGCCTGAATCTACCATGTTAAGAATCTCAACGTAGTACAGTTATATTCACCCTTTCTTACTCCCTCTTCGCCTTCAATTATCACCTTTATTTTATATTTCGGTATTACATTTCTGGTCCGTTTCGTTGAATTAACCTTATTCCTATTACCATTTTCGTCACTGTAATTCATCTAAATATACACCTAGTTTTCTTGCGATATCATCTTAAGTGACCACTAACTGGCCTAGTATGACATCATTTAGAGGACCAATGAAGACCTGGAAGCACATTGGGGGACTCCACGGCAGTACACACCCACGACGTGGCCGGGGAATGAACATAGTACCATCAGGCCCTACAGCAAACGTGTACAATTCAGTTGCTGGGTCGAAGCTCAGTAGTCCGCCTTTTCCTCCTAGCAACTCGCGATATGGTGCAACCTTCATCCAATGCCTTTGTTGAGTATTTATCCTCAGATCCGACTTCATTTGCTCAACCGGTTACGAAATGTCATTTGAACCTTAAGAAATCTCATCTCTAAGCATCTCACTAACCACCACTAAACAATAATTCAGTTTCGAAGGTTTATGGGGACGTTACTGATTTCTACTTGGTCATCATCAAGGATCGAAACCAGTCCAAGAGACAGGAAATGCGGTAGCAGCGCAAAGGCATTTTATCTCAGCATAGGACGGTTCAACAGTCCACACTAATGACACCACCCTTCAAAGACTGAGTCCAAGACCTGTGCAAAGTAAAACAACTACTGGAAAATGTTAAAACGAACCCTTCACTGTTGCATAAATTGTCAAATTAACAACTTACCGACATATTATTATTGCTTCTAATACTGTTCTCATTTAGTTTATTATTCAAATGTATCATATCATCATATGAATTATTGACTGCATTATAATTTCTAGCATGTGAATATTTCCTAGGTTTGTTTAAATGTTTTAAAAAACTGAAGCCATCATTACGAATATTACTCCTTACATGTATTATTGGTGAGTGACAAGAATAGGTGGATTCAGATTGATGACTTTTGAAATTTAATAATTCTTGTTGTTGTACTTCCTTATTATTACTGTTATGAATTGGATTATTAGTGAGAGTATTGCCACCATAATTGTAAATTGAACGTAATTTGGAGGGAATTGAAAAGTTGAATAATTATCAAACGTGAATATATCTGATTTCGAGGTCTGATATTTTAGAAATGCTTGATTTTTTGAATCTGTCCCCTTTGAACTGTTTAACAATTTATTCTGTGATAAATATGAATGATATTTTGACGTGGAATTTTTATACGATTTATCTAACAGATTGGTAAAATTTTTAGAATGTTTCATATGATAATTATAATCCCGTTCGGATGATAAACTATTCATTTGAGATTGTTTATTACGTGGTGATAAATGCCGTAATGACATGATTGATAAATAAATTGATGTTTAAAGAAAAACGTTTATAGTGATGTTTACTTGTTTAAATCTGGTAAATTCCAATTGGTCAAGGTCATCGAAGCAAGACCGCGCAGTTCGTTTCACTTAAGAATGAAATGATAATGAAGTAAACGAATTAATTCGTTTATTTTTTCAAGAATAGTGATGATATAAAGTAAAATTTATTTCCGTAAACCTGTTCTAATAAAATGAATTTTAAATGAGGTTTATATTTTAGCCTAATTTATGCCTTTTATGTGTTTAAAACAAAGCTTGAAGTTATATTCTGGTAGATTGAGTGCAGATGAACCAATAGAAAACTATCAGTGTACTCACAAACGAAATATCTATTAGTTGTCCTATTCTTTAGACATCTTATTTCTTAATTTGGCAGTTGGTTTTGTTTGTGTTTACTGATTTGATTATTTGCCTGTTTGGTTGGTTGACTTTATTTGTGTCTGTCGGTGTGCAGTGTTGACCACAAAAACACCCACACTCAATGTCTTACAGTGTTTTTCAAGTTTGTTATTACCTGCACGTAGGTGGTGGGTAGGTGGATTGTACTTATATCTTACTGGGTATATGAGTTTCTTGTTTTTCGATTAGCATTTTCTTTTTCGGTGACAGAGTAATTCACTTGATGGTTTGTGGGGATTTATCGATTCATTCTTGCATGGTACTCCTCAGAAGAGCATACCCATTACTGCGGAAGCGATCGAGCCCAGTATAGCCAAGTCTATGAAACGATAGCTTTTGGTAGTTACAACGGTTAATATCATCGACGAGTGCTGGCATCCCACTCCCACTGAACGACGGGTGGTGACTGTAATTTAGGATTGTAATACTCTGGCTCCTAAAGTGGTAGATGTCTTATTTAAGTCAGTGTATGAACCCTTCACATTCTTGTGCCTGTTTTCCAGTGGAAGGAGACCGCATTTTAGTTTTCCCTCACGGTAATTGTGTCAGTTAAGCAGGACATAACTAAACATAGTTTGCATATCGAATCATCGAAGAAGGATGGCATGAAAAGGTTACAAGCTTGTGATCAGCATAACCCTAAAAACAGTAATTTTCTGTGTGACAGTACCACAGTGCCACTACTTTTGGAGTAAGGTGTACCATGCTAATAGTAACAGTTACTCTAGCCCCTAAGATTATGAATATACATTGACGCAGTTGATCTTAAATAGCATTCGTTTGCCAAGATACACAATATGAGCAGGAGTAGAAGTAAACTGGAGGACTTTTGAAGATGGAAAACCTGTGAAGTGACAACAAATTCATAAAGTTATAGTGGTTTACAAAAGAATGTAGGTGATGTTACTCAATTGTGATTCTCTCAGATACGGCTTAAGCTTAATCAACGTACGTTTAAACAGCACAAGAACATCATTCCAAAATATGTTATCCAGAAGAAACATTTCCTTTCACTGACCAAAGTATTTAGGAATATCAGACACCAAAGTGATTATTGTTGTTGCGTGTATCATCCCGTCATTGAGGAAGCCGGATTGCGATTTTTCTATTAGCGTACGGACGCGCGTTTCGTCGTATTCCGGCCTCGTCAGCTGGATGTTTCTACAGCTCACTGAACAATGTTGCTCCCACTCAAACTATAACTCGGGACCAGTTGCTTCAAAAGCAAGAGCCATACTCAAATAGACCACCGAGACACTTTGGCTGCATTTTGTGCAACGGGCATAGTTTTAATGTTGTTCCTTGTAAATGCAGGCTAGCCACTATCCGTCATTAAAATATATGATGGAAATACAGGCAATATAGAGGTATACGTGCAGAAGCCCATATGCCAATAAGCACCGATGAATTCGGTTCACTCAATGGTGGGATAATACAAGAAACAACATTAAAACTATACCCGTTGCACAAGAAATGGGTTTCATGACTCGGTGATTTAGTGGACAACGCTCTCGCGTTTGGAGCAGTCAGTCCCGAGTTAGAGTCCTGGTGTGAATGTTATCGCCCTTTGGGAGGCATGTACATCAAGCTGACAAATAGGACGAAATGCGCACCAAGCTGGATTCCACTGTTAACTCCTATTCATCATTAATACCAAAACAATTCCCTCAAGAGGAATGGAATTCAACTGTGGAAAATAGTCTTCAATTCCACAACACCTTTGTTGTTTGATTTGGGCACAGCAGAAAAAGTTGAAGGACTGAAGAAGGTTTATCATCCAACCAACTAAATTATACATATACGATGAGATTGGTTATTTCTGAGCCTTTCTAGAATCTCTGATTTCATTGATTTGTCCAGCCATCTTTATCGTCTAACCAGTGGAACAACAATAAGCTCACCAGTCTCACTTTGTCTAGCTAACATTTATATGTACATAGTGGAATCAGACCTATTTAACAAACACGATTTAAAACCGAAAATAATGTGGATGTACGCTGATGATACTATTTATCGTAACCGAAAAACAAGATCTAGAAAATTCCTTCCGGTATCTCAACACCCATTTCAACTCCATGAACTAGAAAGGGAATCCAAAATGTTGGCTTTCCTAGACTATATGGCTATGCGAAACAATAACAGACTACCTGGTCTTGATGTCTACCTAAAATACGCACATTTTAACAAGTATCTTGACTATGATCCAGCTCACCCATTAGAAACTGATTTAAACAACGTCAAATATATGTTGACGAGATTGTAAACGATACCTAGTAAAGTGGAATCTGAGAAAGCTGGTTGGTAACTTGATCAAAAAGTCTTAATACAAAACAACTATCCTGAAAAGCGACTAAAATGAACAGAAAAAACTTTATTAAAAAACATCATGGGGAAACCAGTCCAAGTGGACTGGATATGTATTGTAAAAGTTCCCTATCAAACATCTTCATAATAAGAAATAAGATATACCCTTAATAGGTACAAAACCAGAGTATTCTTTAAGATGATGAGAAGTCAACACTCAAACTTAATTCTCCATTTGGAACAACAGAATTGTGTTTATAAGATAGACTGTTATGAATGCGACGCCATATATGTTAGCGACACCACATCAAGTACTAACACGTCTACACGAACACGGTCGAAATTGCAAGCAACAGCCAAAAATCCCTGTCATCTGAGAAAACTTGAAAAAGCTCTGCCTTTGCTCTTCATGCCTTGTATTTAGGTCACCATCATTACTATACATAATTAAAACACAGGCAATACCGAGGCATCCGCACAGGAGCCCATATGCGAACAGAGACTGATCGATTCAGTCCAATCAACGGCGGTGTCATACAAGCAATAACACTAAATCTATACAAACGAGTTTCAAAATATCTTTTTTCATTACTATTCTCAACTTTACAATTCATCAACTCACCTGAATCTTTGACAATACTCTTGTTGCTGCTGTCAGCAATATCCTTGATGCCAGAACATTTCTTCTTTCAGTATGGTGTATGTTAACAGTTTTGTAACATTAACTTTCAATTTTATTTTGGTCTATACAAATTCTTCACTTTACTCAGTGATTGCTTGGCTTATCTTACTGTTGAGATTAATCGTCTGGGGTCATGTGCACATACTGCTGAGTAGTTAAAAACGAAGATGACGATTCGGCAGTCCAGTGCTTCAAGATTTTCTATGTTTCTCCAGCTAGCATCAACTTATGATGAAAAATACGCTGAATCTAGTGAATTTTCACAAACAACAAACTGATATGCTTTCATGTAAATTTTGTGAAGTTTAAGTCAGAAGCCATGACTAAGAGAGTCAACCAGATGGAATGTGAGTAAGCACGAATACACAATGATGGCATTCAGTAATGACGGCGCTACATGGTGAGTTGATAAAAGTTGAAAAATGAATCACCACTCAGTCGTTGGGTGGTAACATGGCTGCCATGAGATCTGAAAGTCCTAATTTTGATCCCTGGTAGATCGTTGGTGCGTGAACTCAATGCAAGGAGTAGTAAGTAGGTAGAGGTTAACTCACACCAAATACTTGAAGTAACAAGAGTTGTCTGTCAGATGGACGCAGCCCTAGAAACTGAATTCGAAACTAGCATGAAAATGGTTTCAGGTGGACGATAGTTTTAAGATTGAAAAAATACTGTTTTCTCTGTAACAAGTGTAGAATTCGAAGCATCACTGACAGAAATAAGAAGCATAGTAAACGAGTAAAGACATCAGGAAAAACAAATATGTTTTCGGCTACCTCGTCCTCTTCAGCTGTACAGGCGCATTCAAGCATAGTAAGGGTGCATTAAAATGTCAATATTTGTTAATCAATAATTGTTAATAGTACACTGGTTCACTGATGTACATATGGTGTACAGTCTAGCTTTAATAACACCTACTGAAGGAAACGACAAGACAGAGACGAAAGGAAGGAATGTATATTATTAACATCTGGTACAATAGTCGTTAAATATGGTACACCTTGCACTAAGACAGTCATTCGCATAATGTGTTTCATTTCCTCTTCTGCTTCTCGCTTGATTTCCCCTAATACGTGTGCATTGTCTCTTGGGTTTCTCTGAGCAGAATCCCTATCCATTGCTGGTAATTCCCTACAATTTCCACTGCCCTCTCAATATATATTACTGATATCCATTCTTGTCAGCAACGCACTAGACTACCACCAGAGAGACAGTGTAATGGGGACTCACTACTGGATCTTCTGTTAACAGATATACTTATTACCAAACTGGTAACAATCATACTTAACCAAGTTATCCACAAGTTTTACATCCATAAGAGATATGTTTATGATACATTCATTGTTTGGTACAGAAATTGTGACTTACAGAAAGAATGAATTTATTCCTCGATCAACTTTACAATGGAGATTGAATCACATTCAAAGATAAAATTCCTTGACTTGCTGTTAACAAGAAGAGATGATGGAAAGCTTGAAAGATCATTAGCCGAAAAAAATTTCTAATCCATTCGTTTTCCTTTTGAGTCCAAAGAAATTGTATTCCTGACAATTTAGATGATGAAATTCAACTTCTAAGATAGACG